GGTATAGCAATGGGATCCCCATTTGGTTCCTTACTGGCAGATTACTTCATGGTCAGTTTAGAAAACAACCAACTCAAAACAATTATAGAAAACCTCCACTTGTATAAAAGGTACGTGGATGATACCTTTAACATTTATGACAACAAATGTGACATAAGTCATCTCCTAAAGACATTTAATAATTGTCACCCATCAATAAAATTCACACTTGAAGTTGAAAACAAACAAAATATTTACTTTATTGATGTGCAAATGACAAGAAAGCAAGACGGTACTTTAAAAAGATCTATTTACAGGAAACCGATGTGGAATGGCCAACTAACAAATTTCCACAGTTGGGTTCCCATCAGCTGAAAAAGAAACTTAATAATAACACTCGATACAAGAATACAAAGAATCTGTAGTCTCGAGGTCGAAGATGAAGAATTGGGGCTTTTAAAGGAGATATGTATCAAAAACGGGTATCCTTCAATATCCATTGATAAAAACATGAAGCCGAAAACTCCAAAAACACAAATAATTACAGTAGAAAAGAAAACATTATACATGAACATCGACTTCAGAGGTGATAGAGCCACACATATCTTGAAGAGGAGAATTTCGGATTCCTTAAAAAGAACATTCTTCGCAAAAACATTGCGAATATTATTCTCCAGCCAATCATTGTTCACCAATATTCTGAAAGATAAATTATCGCATCTGACCAACTCAATGTACATTTACCAATTTACCTGCTCTTGTGGAGCTAAGTATATAGGTCGTTTGATGCATACTTTATCCAAAAGAGTTGAAGAACGTTGTCTGGCGTGGCTAAAAAGAGGAGGCAACGACTCATTAAGAAGTTCTACAATCGAACACCTTGTGAACACAGGTCACTCAATCAATCCAGATTCTACGTTCGAAGTCATCTACAAGGTAAGTAAAAGTCTTCCTAAGTCAATTAGACTGCATTTTCTTTGCATTACCGAAGCAATAGCCATACATCTGGAAAAACCAGAATTGTGTGTGCAAAAAGAGACTGGTACAACCTCTTCTTCTACCTTGGTCTTAATGTATTTAAATTTTTCTCTCTTTTCCATACTTTTGTTCCTTAACAGCTATCTGCTTCACCTTCCATCTTCCCTTTAAATCTTCTACCCCTAACTAGTTTGTTTTTATTTCCATGACTCTTCCGATTACATTTCATCTCTATTTCAACATTTTATCTTATTATTCTGAGTCATCCTTTCCCAATGATAATTTCCCTATCTTTTTCAATACCTATGTTTATTTAACCTCATTGTCACTATGTATAACAGAAGTTTCTTATCAGTATTATTATCATACCATAAAAATAAGTATAGATATTCACGATTGTACAGCTTTGAAAATGATTTCCAGATTTCTCTTTTTATTATTACTACATTCTTTCAGCATTAATCTGATTCGTTTTCATATTTTTTAATTAGCGTCATAATGGGCAATCAACGTTTTTACTTTTTATCTACAAACCATTTTTCAGCATAGTCAACGTTGCACTAAAGTATTGTCTTGGTATAAAATATCGTACAGAAAGGGTGTGGCACTACAAGATCGACATTAGTGAAAGTTAAGGATATATTGCCAAAGGAAGAACAACAAAGTATTGACTATGAGATCAACTGTCATGATTGTAATGCAGCTTATGTGGGAGAAACATTCAGACAATTGAATGTAAGGTTGAAGGAACACAAACAGTGTTTGGAAATGTTCCCATATCCTCGATTGACTTAAAGAAACTTGAGAATAAGTCTGTGATAGCTTTACATGCGTTAGAAACAGGACACAAGATTAACTTTGAAGGGACCAAAATACTTCAGAAAAGTTTTACCACTAATAAAGAAAGATTGAAAGCAGAAGTGCTGTATATATGGGCGTACAGGAATCACCTAAACAGAAAGGATGATATTGAACAAGCAACTACTTGGCAAATATTCGTTAACAAGTAATTGGACCCTTTCTTCATTCAACCTGTTTATTTCACATGCATCGTTATTTTTGACTGAATTCAATGAGTTTTTAGCAATACAATTATGTATTTGATGATTCTCATTTTAACTTGCATTTCAACGATTCAAAAACAACTTTTTCAACGTTCAACTTGCCTTTTTTTAAATTTTTCCTTCGTATAAAAACATATTAACACCAAATATTATTCATTAATAATTCATATATACACACATACAGACAGAAAATTCGTTTCAGTCATTTATTTTCACGTCGTAAACCTTTCACATGATTCCCATGTAACTGACTCGTGTTATCCTATTTACTAAACATCAACATCCCAAATATGTTTGGATTAAGCACAGTATCGATTTGATTTGATTTGATTATTACAACGCTGTATATTTCTTTGATGATTTTAATATTGATTATTCTACCTTAAAGAAGTCCAGACAAATTAGCTGGACGAAACGTTGGAATTATTTTTAAAATTCAATAACTGAGATTATTTCAAGTATAATTTTCATATAAAATGTCTTCTCTATACTCGGCGCCAAATTTCTGTCAAACTATTCGTCCTAATCTTGACGAATATTTGCATCGTATTGAAAGCGTTTATTGACTGAAATGTAATTTTGTCATTTTAGTAAAACCTAGTAATGATCATCAGTATTATTATTTAAAGAAAGTTATAACATATTTACCTAACTCTAAACATTTGATTAAATGAATTATAAGAGGCTTTAACAAATGATAAGTTAGTACAAAATAACTGTATTTCTACTTATTTTACATCAGCTTTACACATGACATCAGTTGATAGGAGAAACTATCATTAATACGAAAATGCATTCTGCAAACAATAAATAGTTTGACGTATATAATGATCGCATTTTATGATTGATAGGTCTCCTAATTGAACGCTAGTTTTGGTTTTTAAGCTCTTCCAGTAACCCTCAGGCTAAATCTACACAGCAACTTGAAGATGAGAGAAGAGGCGCGAGATATTGAAAAAAAACGCTTTCTCCAAAAGTTCGTTTATGTACAGAAAATCTAGGGTTTTTATAGTAGTTTGGATGTCTTTGGGTTTCCGAAAAATTCTGGAATGCTACTAAACATAGTAGCAGTATAAGTAATCATCCAAACAGACACTTAATATGTGACCTCTCACTTTCTAGATGTTTCTGGCGAAACTTCTAGTAAACACTGATTGGATAAGATGCTTCTCAGTGTTTTTAGAGCCTTTCTTGGCTTTATTACGAATAGTTTTCTGGATCTCTCCAACAATGATCAGAATAGCATTTGATTTTTTTAAATGCTCTATCTTTGATTACAATTAAAATATCTGGGCACAAATTTTCAGTTTCATCTATCTTACTTGTGTATGTCTTATATTTTAGTATTAAGGATCATGACAGATTCTATGCATTCCAAAGACGTTTTGGAGTGTATTTTGCGATTAAATAGTACGTACGCGATTCAAAGGTGAAATAGGAGATGAAAATATTGGATATTCCATTGGCCTGAGATTTAAGTAGTTTACTAAGTAGTTAAGTGATTTGAACAGAAAATACTTAACAAGAAAAAATCATAAATGATGAATACAAATAAAACATTCAATTAGAAAATACAGAAGAATAGTCATTCTTTTGAAAGCATGACATTATAGAGACAAAAATATCTTTAAGAGATGAGAAAGCAAACAGTTTCAATTGAACACGTATGAACAGTAATTTGAAACTAATCAGATCTTGACTTTTCTTAAAAGGTTAGTTTGGGTGAAAATTTAGAATAAGTTTAGTAAATTGCGTGATATATGAAGAAAAATAAATTCCATACCATCATTCGTGAATATCGCTGGAAGCTTATACACACCATATTGAGCATAAGTGAATTTGGAGATAAAACAATGTGAAGTCACCTTTAGGTAGTGATTTTTAGAAACCACAAAGCACTAAAAAATTGTTTATTAAAATTTCAATGAAATACGATAAAGCTACAATGAATCAGGTGTTTTCTGACTTGTTTTTATCAACAACTTTCCAGCTAATTCCAATCATTGATTAGAACTATTTTACAATACACTTTCTGTCAGAAGATAACTGACAACAGGATTAAAATGTCGTTTTCCCCTTAATACAAAGCTGAGAAAATAATGTGTACAACTCTGAGTTTATCAACGGAAAATAGGTCAACCATATAACAGAATTTCAGTCAAAAATCTGGTAATTTTGTGTATTATTTAGTAATTTTTTGTCCCATTTCGTCATGTATAGCCTCAAATGAAAAAATATTGTTAAAGTAAACAGCATATATTTGATTATCTTGCACGAAATCGATTGTTTTCAGTATTTCAAGTCCAGACCTTCGTACACTGTCATCTTACCGTCTGATATGAAATAGTGATCTAGAGGTTAAGCGTCCGTGCGCGTGACTGCAGGCCCTGAGTTCGAATCCTGCGAGTGGGATTGTGGATGCGCACTGTTGAGAACGAAACGGTCATCCAGTGCTTCCGGGTTTTCGCTCGTGCTCTAACATCAATCGGTTCATGATCTCAATCAAAAATCGTAAACGTTTTACCAACTAATGGATAATAGTCAAAAAACTATTTTCAGAAGGGGTTTGTGGAGATTTTTAGAAATTTTCACAGATTGAAATCATGAGTCAGTTGAAGCTAGACCACCATTGAAAACCTGGAGGCACTGGACGGCCGTTTCGTCCTGGTATGGGACTCCTCAGCAGTGCGCATCCACGATCCTGCACCACGCGGGGCTCGAACCCAGGACCTACTGGCTTCGCGCGCCGTCCAGTGCTTCCAGGTTTTCAATGGTGGTCTAGCTTCAACTGACTCATGATTTCAATCTGTGAAAAAAACTATTTGTAAGTAAATGTCTCATTCATAGGAATAAACCATTACTGTATGCCTATTGATTCACATCATTGCTTTGATTAATCTAAAAACAAAGCTTCAAATCAACCAGTAATCTTAAATACGTGACATAAATGAATATAATCCTTGTTAAACATTTTCTTACCTTGTAAGCATACTGATCCACATTTGATTGGATCACAAACACATCTTTGTGATGGACCATAACTAACCCAACAATCAATATGTTGACTACATGATTTATTTGGACAATTTATTGAATCTAATTTATTGAAATGTTTTAAATGACATCGACCAAATGGAAGATTTGTGAATTTTTCTTTGTACACCAATGAATCACATGATGTGATAATAATAATTAATAAAATAATTAAACTTTGAATAATAAAGAATGTTAAATGTTGAATAGTTAGATCCATTTCATATCAACTTTTGTTTGAATTTATCAAAGATTTCTTCAACTGGTTAGTTTGAATAAATGACCAAATTAAATCAAATAGATTACTGTATTTTTTTAAATAAATTTAGTTTAACATTCATTCAAACTAGATTGGTTAAACATTTACAGCCAATCAATGTAAGATTGTGTCTAGCTTCAATAGGACTGTTTGTTTTCTCTAGCTTGCTAAAACTGTTTCTACCAGTTTTCCTTTATAGTTTCATTGACTTACTGAGATGATCTATTGAGAAGAAATGTGAACGAAAATGTGAATAGGAAATGTTGCAAAACGAAAAACAATTTCATATCAGTATAAGGTTATGGAGAATGTTGAGTTCTAATAGAGATCATGAACTGATCAATGTTGGAACACCAATGAGAACCTAGAAGCATTGGATGGTCGTTTTCTTCTTCAGCAATGCATATCCACAATTTCGTGCGCGGATTTCGAACCCAGAGCCTTCGGTCTCACACGTGAACTCTTGATTTGTCTTATTTTCGCTTGAATCTAATTTAAAAATTAAATGATTGGCTCTGTATACTTGCCATTAACAATCCTTTTCTCGAAAGATTTCTATTCAATATCAAACTGGAGGTTACATTGTAATACTTTTAAAACTGCCGATTGAACTTACACAGTTACTTGTCAAAATTACTTTTTTCGAACATTTGCTTTCAATGGTTCCTATTTTATGTCATTGGAATTAATAGTACCTTATATCTTGATTTCACATTCATTTCAGAAAAACCATGGATACCATGTTATACATAGATAAAGGAATATAAAACTAACAGTGGTATTTCTAAGGATCAATGAGGTACTGTAAGAAAAGTATACTACACAGCTATCATAGATTACAAACAATTTATCAGAAAATTCAAACAGATAAAATGTTTGCCATTATTTAAACAATTAAAGGTTATTGAAACAGGACAGGAAGTCAGATTTGATTCAAGGCCAATATTATTCATTCTTGTTATCTACAGTACCTAAATATTAATTTAAAACAACTGATAGATTTTCAGAAAAACTGAATACTTGTGTTTATACTGACATTTGACATGAGTAAAGTCTAGTTACGTAAATTGAAGTTGAGTGTACCTGACTTATTGCCTAATCAGTCGTTTTATGTTTATTAAGACGTTCCTTTTTCATGTAAACCAAACAGGCTGATCTAATTTTGATGGAGTTTTATTCTCTGAGCTGTATGGTTTGTTCGTGGAGCCTTCATCGTTCTTGTGAACGACACCATCAGCAGAGACTTAAGGTAGAACTGAAGTGTTCGAATTCCTTTACATGTGGTTCACAGTTTGTCCACGACTAGCGGCTTCACGACTAAACCATCCAGCTCAGAGAACAAAACATCATCAAAATCATCCACATGAGCTACAAATCTTCTCCACCAGGCTGATCTTAATTCTACAATTGTTTAGATATGATTTATTTTGAAATTTGCAAAACTTTCAGTTTATATTGAGATGTAAAATTTGTTGCATAATAACATATTTTACGAAATATATTCAAAAGTAACACCATGGCAAGTTATAGTCTTGGATTGTTTGGAATATGTATTTGGATAGTAGTAATAAAATCGTGCAATGTGACATCATCTGTTTGATCTCATTCATAAAATAATGAATAAATATTTAGTTGAACAAGTGTGAAAGTATTGGATTAAAGAAATTTTAAAGATACAGAAATATATCATACATCATAGTAATAAATTTAGTTTATTATCATTACACGTTTTTTATTTGTACACAATTGATCCGATCAAGTTTAATAAGTCAATATTGACAATGCATCAAAAGTCTGTCAAAGTAAGTAGTTAGTGAGATTGCTAGTGAAACTAAGTAAGCTAAAGGCAAAAAGACAATATATCACAAACAATTTCATAGGAATGATGAAGAGTGAGTTTAATTTATCCTGAATTAGTGATTATTGTTATCGTTAAATCTACAATAAAAGCTATGAAATGAACTCGTTTAATTCATGAAGAACGCAACAAAATGTTTTCTTTTTGATGGAGATTCACTTTCCACTAATCAGTATTCTGATGGTTAATCAATGATTAATGTGAATATTTGAAATATTCTTCCAAGTCAAACTATTGCAAATATTTATACTTCCAAATTTTAGTTGTCTGTCATTTGATATTCCGATCAAGGTTTAGTGTCTGTTTGCTGATCTTGAACGTAAACAATGTAACCATCTATTTAAAACACGTAACGTGAATACTGTAATGATCTAAAAATAATTGATTTATACCTGCCAAAAATGATAAACTATCTAGTCCCACAATTTTTATAAGTTGTAAAACCGTTTCCGGGATTTAAATAGATTACAGATTACCAGGGTAGAATAATGTTGGAAAAAATGGTTTTGAACACATAAAGAAGGCCGAAGTTATCTAGCGTCTAGGGTTTCTACATACATAATAAGTTCCTGACAATTTTGGTATCCATTTTGGAAGACTGTTTTATGATCAATCGTGTAGTATGTTTGTAAAATGTACCGTACCTAAGAGAAATGTAAACTTTTATCCACTGTTATGTATTATATGAAGAGCGAATCAGAAGTAGCGTAATGAGAGTACCACTTAATGGTAATCAGAAGTGATCCAGAGAACAATTGGATTTTATTGGCTAAGAAATAGATAAACCTTCTAAGGATTATGAATGACTATTCGTGTATTTTATTCGATAGACCAATGCACTTTCTCGCTCAACTAGTCATTTGAGGAGGGAGGGTTGGTCAGTGGCACATCATGTATCAGTATCAGATTTCAGACACCGACTGTCACAAAAGTTTCTGGCGACGTTATTTTTGTCATTTCTACGAGAAAATAAATAAAATTCCACATTGTTCATTTCAGTAGATCAGTTGAAATATATTTTTCAGAAGCAGTAAAAAGAATTTCAAAGAGAACCGGTGAAAATGATAGAAACGATGGCAAAAATGTCATTAGTCCACAAAATTTCAGCACAGTTGTCCGAATTAAGGGGCTCAACCACCGAAAGGTTTATCAACTCAATGAGAGAGTTTCATCTAGATCTTGATATTAGAGTCACATTTGAATCATGGTTCAAGAGGTATAAATACGTTTTCCAAGTTGAGTTTCTTCATAATTATGGCTCTTCAAAGGTTAGAATTCTACTTCGTAAGCTTGAAGCAGCTAAACATAAAAAGTATTCGAACCTTCTCCTGCCAAAAAGACCCAAAGGCTTTCGTTTTATTCTACTGTACAAAAATTAACAGAATACTTTACTAATAAGACTTCTTTATTTAATTTGCGATATGATTTTTTTTCATGTCCAGCATTTGTTAGTAAAAAATGCAAAATTTTTAAGTTGCATTAACTTTCTGACGAACAATTTAAGTGTCTCATCTTTGTGTGCAGGTTGCAGTCGTCATCAAACTCACCTATTCTTACTAAAAGCTTAAGCAGAATTGAGTTAGATAGCGTTCCTACGTTGAAAGATATCAGAAACGAGTATCGTCATATTATTAGTCTTAAGAATGATACATAAATGATAGACCGTCCAAATCCCAGTTCATATGATTTGATGAAATTTTTTCATTGAGATCGCATTGTTAATGTCGCAAAGCATGAATCGCAAAATTGTCCTCGTCCGAATCGGGTGTATAATGTCCTCAACTCTAATTCACGTCGTTCTACAAGGACTGCCACAAGTTTTTGAAATTGTGATGCACGTCGTTTCTCCCATTTCTACCGATCCAATAAACATAAATGTCCAAAATATAAAGTGACTAGTCAAAAGTAGGGATTTCGCAAACTGAGCAAAGCACCAACTCATTATCGAATGAAAAAATTGATTATCTGTGTTCATGTATTGTCGAAATATAATTTCCAACATGGTCAGTCAAGTATTCATCCTACTAACGATTGCATAAGTAGTGCATCGGGCATCTCAATAAAAATTTCCGGAATTGTTAAATGTACAGTCAAATTTAATAATTTAATAATCAAATTCAAATGTCATGTTACTAATGAATCATTCAATCTATTGAGTCTTGACTGGATCAATGCTTACCTAACGGTGTCTTCCTTGCTGAGTCAATACCTGGAAGGAAGATTCCGAAGTCATCTTAATGCATGTATCGACAAACAAGACGAGATTATAAGCACAAAGCGAAAAAAATTAAACGTCGACTTCCTAATTGGCGACACGTTAATCACGTCCGTGATAGATGATTAAATGCAAATGAAGAACCTCCAGTCTCGAAACTTCAGCTAGATTATTTAATTGATATAGTCAGTTTTGAACATCAGGATCAGAGCGGAAGAAGTGATTGCCAAACCTCAAGAAACTCATCAAGAAGACGAAATTGCCTTCAACGGCCTCAGATAAATTCAAGGAGCATAACTTATTTTTCAGGTGGGAATGGTAATATGGAGACCCAGTCAGACGTAACCTAATGAGAAAGTCAATTAATGACAATCAGAAGTGATCTAAAGGACGAGTGCATTTCATTGGCTAGGAAATGGATCAATATCCTAAGAGTGGTATATTGTGGTATTTCTACGAAATAGTGATTTTTTTGTATTGAATTGCTTACTGATTGCGAATTACAAATATAATGCGTTCATTTGTGCTCATCTAGTTTTACTTGCTGTAAAATGCACCATTTCAGGAATTCCAAACTAGTGCATTAATTCAAATACTGATTTGTCCTCTCCCACAGTAAGCCGTTGTTGATGGTATCCGGCCAACGGAAATTGAGTATCTTGTGTGGACAACTGTTTATAAGTACTTGTACCTTTTTATGGTAGTTTTAGTAGTTCTCCCGGTTTCAGCTCCGTACAGTAGAACTGTCTTAACATTCGTAATGTAGATTCTGACTCAGATGTTTGCTGACAGTTGTTTTGAAATCCATATGTTCTGCAACTGTAGTAATGCTGTCCTTGTTTCGCCAATCCTCAAATTCGCGTCCTCATTTGATCCTCCTTGTACATC